TCATGCTAACTCCTCGCGCCAAATTTGTCTTTACTCGAAAATAGGCGTCCCACGGCTGCTACCACATGGGCGACTATTCCTGGATGGGTCAGAAATTACAGTGTCGATAACTTGGACTCATTTCCCTCTATACATGTCCCCTAAACAGAACTCTCTCTTTCTCTCTTGCTTTTGGATCTGTACACACAGGAAGAAACATTTGGTGAAAAAAAATATGTACATGTTATTATTAAGATTTTGAAGCAAAATTTATAATGTTAGTTGCCAAGGAAAAAATTCTTTACACAAATAGCAAATTTTATTTACACGTGACAGAAATTTTTGAATAAGAAATAGTATATAAATCTGAGCAGAATTTTTCAATGTAAAACTTTCTAAAAGCCTCTTATTTTTAATCATTTTTTTCAAAATATTTATTTTAAATTATTTGATAAAATTGAACTTGACAAATTTTAAGTAAAAATATCCCACAAATTTATTTCATACAAGTTATTTTTAAATTTTAAACAACTAAAATAAATGAAAAATAATAAAGATTCAATTATTTTGCAAAACAACTATAAGAAGAATTATTATCCACTTTCGTGTCTCACAAATGTAAAAAAATATCTGAAACATGCAATCTATTTGCAATTAATTTTTTTCCTCCCACATAAATTCTTTTTTTCTTCTTAGACTTCTATTACGAATGAAAAACAAAAAAACAAAAACCCAAGTCAATTATCTTTTTTGGCACAAAATTAAATGATTATCAGTTAGATTTTATTTTGGGAAGTATTTAAAAATTATTCGCTTTCTAAATGAAGAATGGAAAATAAAATATAAGACATGTAAGACTTTAAGATCTAAAATAAACCAGTTGCCAGACTCATTCGGTGGTGAATCCTCGTGCAGGCACGTTACAACGATCGCAACCGTTCCATTCGTCAACGTAGTGACTGCAACATCTATTTTTGTTGGCACTCTATCTCTCTTTCTCTCTTCTCACTCTTCTCTCTTACCCTACTACTCTTTTTCTTACTGCTGCGCATTTAGTTAAAAACAACCCCCCTTGACGGGATTAATGATTGCCGTTTGACTGTTAAACAGTCTTCAATTCTTTCGCAATTACTCCCTTTTGCCCTAGATTTTTTATCTCGTTAATTTGACCTAAAAGAAAAATTTATTTAATTGGAGCATCATTTAGTAACATTTTACTGATGGAAATTATAAGTCAATTTATTTTTCATCTCACCTAGTTTCTATGTTTTTTTTATTTGATAAAAAAAAAAATAAAAATAAAAAGACATTTCTTAAAATTTCAGTTTTTCACCCTCTTCTTTTTCTCTTCCCTTGGGTGGTAGCTCTTGTCGTATCGAATTACGGAGTTCAGGACGTTGAAAATAGCCGTGCGTACGGTAGTAAAGACTTTGCAGAGTATAACTATATGACAATGAAGACACGATGAGAGAACGAAGACGAGGATGTTGAGAATATGATGGCAAGGGATACGAAAAATGGGACTTGAGAGAGATACCAACATAAAATGCCACTCTACTCATAGAAAATTTAAAAGCTCTCGTCTTCTCTATAACGTTGCATCGTTATATTGAATATCCATATTCATGAATATTTCATTTACGGTTATTTTAATTAAAAGAAGAATATTTATTATGTGCGTATATACATATGTATATTCAAGTCAAGATAATAGATAAGCCTATTATAACCTTGCGTTTTCTCTTGAAATATTGATTTTAGATACCAAGTTTCCTACATGATATCTCTTCAAGTTATTCCGTCAAAAATTAATGTTAGTCTTTCATTTTACGACGTTCAAAAAAATTTATTCTTCTTCTATGCCATTTTATGGTGTCTCCCTAAATTTTCTTATGATCAATATGAATAAACAATAAAGGCTATTAATAAATTTGTTAATTTTTGTATTGATATGTTATTTCTCAATTGAAGAAAAAAAACATTCAATAAATGAGAATTCAGCTAATTAAAATGCCATTTTAATGGAAATGTTTGTACTTATTATTTATTTTATTTAATTAATTTTGATTCAGGGAAATTGAATATAATGACACTTCAGATTAATGAGTGTAAGTAATGCAGTTTTAAAAGCACACTGCAATTTTCGATTGTGAAAATATTTATTAGTAGAGAAAAAGTTTATTTGAATGTTTTGCATATAAAATTCAATCATAATCATTAAAGAATAATGGAAAAATAACAAATAATATTCATTTATAACTATTACATTTTGGATTTCTTTAAAGTTTAAATGTAATTCTCAACGATTTTCATTCAAGTTTTTCGACTTCAATAATAGCAAACAAGAAAGAGGAGGTACACCAGTAAAACTCTTTCATTTAAAAGGCAATAAAAGATAAGTTAAGTCCAATAAAATTGTAAAAATAACAAACAAGAATTTTCTCGTATTTACTAAATATATATGAAATAGTTGACTTATTAATAAACTTTTAAACATGTTGCAATTTATAACATTTTAAATGATTCGATTTATTATTTGTTCGAGCTCTAGTTTAAAAACATTATTTTACGTAAAAATTTATTATTATACTCATTGCTAGAAAAATTTGATAAAATTATTTATAAATATTTTTTTAATTATTACTTGAAGAGATGTTTTTTAAAAGTTTAATGTATACCCTCAACTTCACATTAAATATTCCAAGAAAGTCAATTTACTTTAATGTAATTCTTTATAACTATAGTTTAAAAAAAAGATTTATCAGTAAATTTTTCTAAATATCCCAATTTTCAAGATAGTTTTAAATATTCCATTTATTTTTCGTTATACATTCCAAATCGAATATTTATTATTGAGAAAAAATATAATTTAGCCCATATGTGGTCATCTTTTCCATAATAATATATAAAGGAAGAAAAATGGATTGGATAAGAGGATTGGAGAAATCGTAGCTCGAAGATTATTCCAATGACTATCTGATCATGCATGAAATTTCTTATCTTGTCGAAGTAGAAGTAATGCTTCTCTGTATAGTATTCAGCAACGTTCGACAATTCAGGAATATAATCCCGAATTTCCGTCGAGCAAATATACACAACTATCGATTGCGCCAAATCGCTGGTGCTGCTGGTGGTGATGCTATATACTCCTATACATATTCTTAGTAATATTGAACGTCTTAAAATCATCGCAGTGTAAAAAAAAAATGAATTATATCCAATACCTGATCGAAAAAAAAATTCCATAAATCTTTATAATTTTTTAAATTCATGACAAAAAGAAATGAATTAAACCCAATAGCCGAGTTAAAAAATGTCATAATAAATCTTGGCATTTTTTGCAATTTATAGCTTGGAGAATATTTTTTTTTTTTTTTGGCTTTAAATGATAATACGCGAGGTAGATTAAGAGAGAAATTTTAAGACTCTTGTGTTTTTCCTGAAGTACAAATGAACATCTAAAAAAATGTGAGGGGTGGAGAATGCGAATGAGAGAGAGAGAGAGAGAGAGAGTGAGAGAGAGGTAGAAGTGAGGGTTGACGAGACCAGACATGTGCCACGGGCATGTCAACATGTGCAGTGTCTGCTAATGCAGCCTGCAAGTCACTGGAGCCTCGTGGTGGAGTACTTGCTAGGAGACCTCTCTTGTTGACGACAGCTGCACCAACCATTTATTTCTCTCACTCTTTTTCCAGCTCCCTACATCGTGTTCTCTCATACACATAATACTCTGTGGTACTATACCCCCTTTGAAGTGAAACCCAGGGAGGTCAGGCACTTCCTGTCCCGTCTGTGAGACATTACTCCTAATACGGTCCATGTGTCTTTCGACTCATTGTCATATTCTACTTTTACTAAATAATACTATATCGTTTATTTCACCACATTTGTAGAAGAAAATAAACATAAAGATAAAATAGCCAAGCATTTTATATGTGTGCATATAAAGTATTTTCTTGTTGAATTTATTGCTCTGTATTATAAATGGCTTTGTGTATGTATAATGCTGAGAGAAAAATTCTTTTAATGAAAATTTTCAATAAACTTTATACCAAGTAACTTGCAGAAAAACAAAATCACTTTTAAAAATGTAAAAATACTCTTGGAAATATTATGTTATACTATTTTTTAAAATAAACATTTCACATGAAAGATAATTTCATCAAATAATTTTATTGGTTCAAGAATTTTTTTTAACATTTTATACCAAGTGGAATTATAAAGTTTACATTGCAATTAAAGTCTATGTATTTTGTACTAAAAATTTTTTAATAGAGATACTTAGTTCATAAAAAAATGTCCTTTTTTAATTTAATATTTACATTACTATAGGCGGATAAAAAATTAAAAACTCATTTTTTTTAAAATAAAAATTTGGTTTAATTATAAATGAATTTAAATAAAATTTTATTTCATTTATTTAAAATTATCTATTTATCTAATTAATGAATGGACCTGAGGAAAAAAGAATAAAGCAAAATTAATTTAAAATCTAATAAAAAACGAAATTACGTCCAATGTTGACGTAGAGTTGAAAATAATTGCATGGTACGTTTTATCACTTGACATCTGAAGCATTTATCTAGTTTTTTAAATTAATATACGACAATTTTTTCACACAATGACACATTTTTACACGAATTATCCATCCATTATAAATTTTAAACTTTTTAGTTATAATAAAAATAAGCGAAGCATAAATTGAAAATTATTTACTCGTTTTTTTTTTTATCATTTCATTCTATTCTTCCTCATTCTTGAAATTTTCTCTTCAAGTCTATATATGTCAGATGTTTATATCATATCATGGCAATGTAAACATCAAATATACACTTTTAAGCCACAATACAAAACATGCCTACAAAATTCTCATCGTTTGCCGTAGCCCAGCACTTTTCTGCCATGTGGATAATGAAAAAAAGTGAAGAAGAAAGAAAGGGATGGAATAAAAAAAAAAAAACGAAAGAACCAAGGAGAAAAGTAAATTGAAAAATGCTGATAAAATAATGTAATTCTTTCAGTGCAATGCGGATTCTTCTTTCAAAGCTTCCTCGGCCATGGATCGTTGATGAGAAAAAGGATGACGGTTATACAGCCCTTCATCTTGCTGCCCTCAATAACCACGTTGAAGTCGCCGAATTATTGGCTCGAGTTGGCAAAGCTGACCTGGATCTTCAAAATGTCAATTTGCAGACTGCGCTACATCTTGCTGTAGAACGCCAACATACCCAAATCGTCAGAGTAAATGACTTCTTCAAAACTATTATTCTTTCAACAATTGAAAAAATTTCTATTATTAACTTACTATTTTTTATTGTTACATTTTCTTTTATTGCTATTTTTTTTTCCTTTTTAATTAATGTCCTCAGTTACTGGTACGTGAAGGAGCTAACGTTAACGTTGCTGATAAAGACGGTGATACACCGCTTCATGAAGCTTTACGCCATCATACATTATCACAGTTGCGACAATTGCAAGATGTCCGGGATGTTGGAAGACTATTAATGGGTCTTGGTACACAAGGACAAGATAAGAAAAGCAGTTCTTTTATCGCCTGTTTTCTAGCTGCTCATGGCGCTGATCTAGAGTTGAAAAATAAAAAAGGCCAAACCCCACTTGATCTTTGTCCTGATCCAAACCTTTGTAAGACTCTAACTAATTGCCACAAAAATAAAGAATCGTAAGTATTACATGGGTTTTATTAAAATTTCATTTAACTCATCATCAATTTGTTGCTCGTTATTAATTTATTCATTTATTCTTGACAGGCATGACATAGAAACAACAACACATTCAGCGACGATTGATGAATGTCTGGTATGCTCTGATGGAAAGCGTGAGATGCTTTTCAATCCTTGTGGTCATGTTGCCTGCTGTAATACATGTGCTCCAAGAGTTAAAAAATGTTTAATTTGTCGGGAAAATGTTGCATCCAGACACAAGGTAAATAAATTACTAGAATATGGTATGATTAGTTTTTTTTTCTCCCCGTTTAAGGGAATCTCTTACGTGAAAAAGCTTCAATTTGAACGTAAAGTAATGTAGTGCTTGAAGCTGTTTTTCGAGTATTTTATGAGTTTGAAAAATTTATTAAAATGAAAGTTTATAAGTATGCTCATTGCATGCAATGACGTATTACCCAGGGAAATCCAGTTAACATTTTATCAATCATTTCAACGTCAATTTTAAATTTGTCAAAAAAATCAAAAATTAAATTTCTCATGTAAACTGGTATGTCATTCAGAAAATTCATGTATATTGAATAATGTATGCTAGGAGAGAAAAAAAACAGTCATACCAACTTGTAGTTGGTATGAATTTAATTAAATATATTCAAGCAATATTAATAACACTAATGTATTGATTTTTTTTAATTAGATTGAAGAGTGCTTAGTTTGTTCCGATCGAAAAGCTGGAATTTTATTCCGTCCATGCGGTCACATGTGTGCTTGTGAAAGCTGCGCTACTTTGATGAAGAAATGCGTTCAATGTCGAGCTCAAATTCAGCACATGGTACCACTGTCCATCTGTTGCGGTGGAGGAGGTGATATTTCTTATATTAAGGGGCACAATGCCTCAGGTATTACGTGATCCTTAGTTTAATTCAAAAAATAATTTTATATGATATCAAATAAAAAACAATAAACGCTTTTCTCCTACAACGTCCATTCATAATTCAAACGGTGTATGTGGATGTATGTTTAATATTTATGATAATTATTTTTATGTGCAGGAACGATATCGGAAGTTAAAAATGATCCTGAAGAGGATGCTACGCTGTTGAATACTAATAGCAACGATGCCGTATTAATGAATAATGGTAGTAGAGATACATCTCATAGTGATATTCAAAAATTACAACAGCAATTACAGGATATTAAAGAGCAGGTTTGTATATTAAATCAAGTACTGACGTTAATGGGTTTTTAATGAGTAACTTGAGTTAATGTATTTTGTTTATAGACAATGTGCCCAGTTTGCCTGGATCGATTGAAAAATATGATATTCTTGTGTGGCCATGGAACATGTCAAATGTGTGGGGATCGCATGTCCGAGTGTCCAATTTGTCGGAAAGCTGTAGATAAACGTATTCTACTCTATTGAAAGCATAAAGAGGGTAAAAGAAATTAAAAACGAAATAAAACCAATATTTAACTTACTAATTAATCGATAAAAGACTGTGACTGCGTATAGTTAATTTGCGAGCCGCATATTTACTACACGCACAGCTGTAAATGGACGTTCATATTTGCAATTTAATAACTATAAATTATTGAAAAACGATCAAGACATTAGACATAATTTTTGTATTTTTTCCAAACATATCTGTTATTACAAATGACTTTCGATAAATATTTTTGTAGATTTTCAAACAAACTTTTTTACGTTATTGATAATATTATATTATAGAGAACAATTCATATTCCATACTTAGTCAATGTGTAATAGTTGTAACGATAAGTATGAGACAAAAACAGATGATATAAATAATATTTTACTTAAATTAAACTAAAACTATGTTATGCCTAATAGCTATTTATATTAGGCAAGATATTAAACATTAAATTAAGTAGGTAATTAATTACTCATTGTTCTCTTTTGTTATTTGTAAAAATTTATTGATATATGATCATGAGATTATAACATAAAGACAGGTTGATTATTTCTTTGTTATGTGACATTTATATACAACAATGTATACAATTAATGAATTAACCGAAATATTCGGATTATAAATAAATAATAACAATAATTATTGCTTAATAGTTTGAGTAAGAAAATGATTTATTAGTTTAAATTACAGTAACTAGAAAAAATGTGATATCCTATTATGACAATAGCTTCTTCTTCAAATTATTGTAATTGGCCAAAAAAATGTACACAACCGCTTAATATTATTCTTAAAATTTTAAATGTATTACAATAACTGCACGGTAACAGCGCAATTAAAATTTAAAAAAAAAATAATAATACAGCCAACTTATTTGCAGTTATTAATTAATATTCATTAAATAATTAACGTATGAAAAAATTTGATATATCTTTATCATTGCATGCCTTTGTAAACATATATTTAATAAATTATCTTAATTATTTATGCTATATTAACAATCTATTGATGTGTTAAGATCAAGCGACGGTAATTTTTTAGCCCGAGTAATACGATCTAACTCTGCAGCAGCATCATTGCGCATTGTAGTTTTATCTACTGGTCCACCTTCTAAAAGTATTGACAGACGTCCATTAAATTATTATTATTATTATTATTATTTTTTCCATTATTCAATGTTAATACCTATAGAAATGGAGATGAGGAAAACTTACCAATTTTAATTGGACTCGTGCCAGTACTTCCGGGTGCTGATCCCGGTCCTCCAGGAGATGGGCCAGTCTTTTTACTCAGCAATGAATTGAAAAAGTTTGCCAAGACACCTTCGCCCGACGGAGTTGTGCCAGTGCCTTTGGGATCCAACTTCTTATTAGGCGATGGCACCTACATAATTAGTTTTTCATTATATATAATAAATTAAAATGAAACTTTATTAAATATTTTTAATAATAGCAGGTTATACCATGGATATTAGAACATGCTATGAATGTTTGCATATGAAATAATTAATGTACACGGATAATAAAATGTCACTTGATAATTAAAATAATAAAATTAATTGAAAAATTTTGTAAATTATTGATTAACACGATAAAGTGTGAAGGATGAGTAAACATTTATAATGAGTGATAAGTGATATAATTTTTTTAAATTGCGAATATCATAAATTATTTTCATTTCATTAGTCACACTTGCAACACCAATAGCGTGCTCAAAATTAACCGATGGTATCACCTGTATCATGGGCCCTGAGCTTGCCTGATTTCGGGTAGTAGGCGATCTAGTTGGGTCTCTTGACCCAGATAATGTAGCTTGCTGTCTAGCTAAAAATGCTTGTTCATCTTCTGCTTGAATTTCTACTTCACGTGTTAAACACTAAAATTCATCAATCAATTAATAATAAAAATATAATTTTTTCTATTATCGTCCATAATACATAATTTTGAGTAAAAAAAAAAATAGAATCATTTATAAAAATAACCTTTCTATTTATCGATGGTTGGGCAATAATATCCGAGTAATAATCATCTGGTTTCATCGATTGTAAGTTTTCATACAGAATACCTATCTTTTTCATGTTATCCCAACCAGCAGGTCTAAAATAGAAGATAACAAAGTTAAGTTATAAATGATAATCTTCCTTTTTATTGTTAATGTGAAGAAAATATTTTCAATTCCTCACATTAGAACAGCGTCCTTTTCTACCACTAACGCAGGTGTTCTGAATGGCAGATTATAAATTCTGTGAGTAAGATATTTATACAGCAAATCGCAATTTTTATCTTCTTTTGCAGAGGTATAAAAAAGACCTGCGCCATATTGTAAGCAAAATCGTCTAATCCACTGTTGCATAAAGTCAAAATGTTCATCTCTGAAAATTTAATTAATTATTCCATTAATATTTCTTGATTAAAATTAATTAAAATAAAATATTTAGATGAATAAATTAATAATAAATCATACTTGTAATCATGCTCCTTCTCAAGAGTTGACATGTAATCTGTCTTCGTAATTACAACAACGATATCAAGGCCTAAATTAGAAGTGAGTACACCTTCAGGTAATGGTAAATTATCTGCATCATCGTCTAAATTACGGCTTGTACGCCTTAATGGACTCCCTGGGTCTAATTCGTCGCCTGGTTCTGTATAGTCTTGCCATTTTTTAAGATCTAGAATTAAATAATTTAGAAGATAATAATTTCAATGAGACTGAAATGGTGTTTAATTCTTTAAAATAATATTAACATACTTTTTTGTCTACATTGTTGTTGAGTATCATTATCTAATGGTAGATTATCAATATGATCACTAAGGAGCGAAGCCCAATTTTGCAGTTGATCGAGTATTGCCCAAGGTGTTGTCATTGCAGCTACAAGCATCACTAAAGTATGTGGAAATCTTTCAGCATTCAATGCAAATCTCAAAAGATTTGCATGACCAGGATCTCCATCTAATACCCATACCGATAATCTTGTTTGATCTGCAGTTTAAAAAAACTAATATTAAGATTTACATTCCTTAAATTACTTGTGTATTTTAACGGAAATTCTCACCGTCTCTGTAATCATCCCTGACGTCAATATATGCAAATTCTAACCCAGATCCTTTCTTTGGATCTTCAACTCCTTGTAGCTTTGCAATGAGCGTTGTTTTACCACTTTCATTGTCACCTAGTGAAAAATTTAGATAGTCACTTTGTATTTTAAATAATAGCCATCATTCTAAATTGTTAAAGCACATTAAAAAGTGGCTTTTGATGTTTAAATACTTTAAATTGTTGACTATTCGAATAAAATAAGTTTACTTTAACATCATTTTTTTTTTTTTTAATTAAAAAAGAGTGTTTCAATAATTTACCTAGTACGAGAACGTTCTTATTAGAAGGTAATTTATTATTTCCACTATTTTGAACTTCAGCTAAAATCGAAGACCTGTAATAAGCGTAAAATGATTTTGTAAATATTATTAGACATGGTCAACCAGTGTTATGTCAAGTTCAAAAATTGTAGCCCATTACAATGATCATTTATAAGGAGATAAAAAATTATGTGACCTTGACTAGGAAATATTGATGAAGGTTATGTATAATAAACATACCAAAGGTTGTCTTTATTTTCAACATCCTCTTTTTTCTTCATTTGAAGTCCATGACTCTGTGACATGACTGTGGTCGCCGCCATTATCTACTTGATATGACTAAGCTCATGTATGTCGAAGTTTTTAATCAACACTGTAATATCGATGAAAATTGAAAAAATGGTTAACACTGAGAAAATCAAATTGAGGGCGCTTTGTTTATAAATATTGATTCATAAAAACATGGCACAAAAAATTTAAAGAATATAAAAAACAAATATTGTTATTGGAGTAAAAATAAATCAGAAATACATCGTGTGAACTTTGCCTTTCGTAAAGTATTACTAATAAAATGAATTAAGCTTCAAGAAAATTATTTAACAATTATCACAATTCACAGTAAATAAATAAAAATTGATCAAATCTTTTATATAATATTATTATGAGGAAATATCAATGATAAACTCAATTTAACCATATGTTTTACCTCAATCTTGTGTGGTAGAATACAATTCTTTGATAATGATTTTTACTGATCTTTATTACCGATAGAAATTTTCCAAATAATTGTCATAATTGTTTAAAGATTGCTCTTGTGCAGTTTGTCGATAAAGTAGGTATTTATGATACTCCAAAAAACATTCGTTCCTAACCTCACAAAATTCACACGTGTCATCTACAATACTAACGAGTATTATGAACAGTTAACAATAAATATTAACTAAAGTTCACTAAACGTTTTAAATAAGTTTAATTATTTATATTTTTAAAGTTAATTTGAAATTTTCAACAATGAATAAGCCAGGTAAGTTTGAAATTACTGTGAACAAGCAAACTTTTTTAATAATGTATCTAATGATCATTGATTTGTCAAAAGGTCGCTTTGTTAAAGCTCCATCTCAACAATCCAAGTATCCCGGTAAAGCTCCTGTAGATCCAAAGAAATTAGAAAAACATAAACGAGGTAAAGGCGTAGAACTACGTCCAGGAAAAATAAGAATTAAAGGAAAATATAATCAAGAACGATTGAAAAGAAAAGAAAAAGCAGTACAAAAGGCAGCTGAAGATGCTGCTCGAGCTGAGTTGTTGCTTACTGAAGATCCTGGTTTCTTAGAAACTGATTCGGGTGAAACTTCAACTCAATTTAGACAAAGTCAGATAGTAGCCAATACCGATATAACTAGTGCAGCTAAGCAATTTCATTTGGACCTCCCATTCGGTCCGTACTGTTTGAAATACACAAGAAATGGAAGACATTTATTATTAGGAGGTAAAATGGGTCATGTTGCAGCTTTTGATTGGGTCACAAAGAAATTGGCTTGTGAAATAAATGTTATGGAATCTGTCCATGATGTATCATGGTTACATACAGAGACAATGTTTGCAGTAGCTCAAAAAAATTGGGTTTATATTTATGACAATCAAGGAATTGAATTGCATTGTATGAAAAGAATGAATCTAGTATCTAAATTAGAATTTTTACCATATCATTTTTTGTTAGCAAGTGCTTCAAAAGAAGGATGTTTAGCCTGGTTGGACGTATCGATTGGTAAAATGATTTCTCGTTATAACAGCAAGCTTGGAAGAATATCAGTAATGACACAAAACCCTTATAATGCTGTATTATGTGTTGGAGATTCTAAAGGAGTCGTGTCAATGTGGTCTCCAAACGTTGAACAGCCTTTAGTGAAGATGCTATGTCATCGACAAAGCATCAGCGCTTGTACAGTTCACCCTCATGGAACTTACATGGCCACAAGTTGTCCTGACCGGTCTACAAAAGTTTGGGATGTTCGTAATCTTTCTGGACCCGTTAGTACTTTGATAACTCGAGCTGGAGTTAACAACTTGGCTTACAGCCAACGAGGACTGCTTGCAGCATCTTTAGGGAATGTTGTAGAAGTATTTAGAGATGTAGATTACAGTCCAAAACAGTATCTACGTCACAAAGCTTCATGGATTGTGAACGGAATACAATTTTGTCCTTTTGAAGATGCTCTTGGTGTAGGTGAGGCAAGGGGATTCAGTTCTCTGTTAGTTCCTGGTAGTGGTGAAGCCAATTATGATGCATTAGAAGTGAATCCATTCCAAACGAAATCACAGAGACGAGAAGCCGAAGTTAAAGCTTTACTTGATAAAATTCAACCGGAACTCATTACTTTGAATCCCAATGCTATTGCTGAGGTTAATGTAGCTTCTGTGAAAGAAAAATTACCAAAAGAAAAAAAAAAGAAGCATGGTCCTCGATTCGTATCAAAATAAATTAGTCGATATAACTAATAATTTTATGTATTATATAAATATTTGTAATTGTATATGTATATATTAATCAATTTTTATAATAAAATATTATAAAACATATTTAATCGTTCTTCAAATTTTAAAAATAGTTTTTAATAAAATTTATTCCAAATTAGAAAGGAAATAAAACATTTAAACCAAAATTTTCATCGAAGGCTTGCATTTATTAACTGAAGTAATCTTTGACAGCAGTGATTTATTCATCAAAAAGAATAAGCAATATTACAAGAATTTTCTTGATCATAATAATAGATATAAAGTTTTAATAAATTGTTAATTAGGTGAATAAGATAGATAAAATTTTTCAATAATAATTAATTAATTTTGAAAAAGCGTGCGAGTAAAATCTATATAATCCAATGCTGCTGTTATAGGTCGCTCGGTTTTCGGATCAACATAAGGTTTCATACGAGCCACACAGTAATCAGCCATTTCTTTAGTAAGGTTCTGTAAAAAGAAAAAAAATAAGATCTTTATTAGTATCAGAATATTTTACAATAAAAATTATTATCAATTTAATATAAATAAAACACTTACAGCATAAAGTTCCTCTTTAGTGACATAAGGCCGATCGGCAGCGGTGATAGCTCTAAAGGCATTCTCAATTTCTTCTGAACTTTGAACGTTTTCGGTTTCTTTACTTATCATAAAGGCCATATATTCTTGTAGAGACACATAACCGTCGCGATTTGGATCAACGACGTCAAGAATATTCTCAAACTCTGGGTCAGGTTGGCCTTCTTCCACCATCGGCAAATCATATCCAAGAGCTCTTAGACATGACTTGAATTCTTGGTGATTCAAACGTCCACTCTTATCTTTATCAAAGTGCTTGAACATCATTGAGAACTCTTTAAGAGCATCTTCGGATACACCAGATTGATTTCGCGCTTGTATCTGCTGTTCTAAATTATGCTGCATACGCATTCCGAGCTGATCCAGTTGATCCCATTGTTGTGCTAAACCAACAGTACTGTGCTCAGTGTAACGATTGTCCAGAATTAAATGTTCCTCAAGAATTGCTCCTAAATCTTCAATTTTCTTGAGATCTTGACGGCGTGCCCGAACTTCTTGAGTTTTCCTCTTAGTGGCTTCAAGTTGTTGTTCTAAAGATCCAGAGCCTTCCATCATGGAAGTTCTGGTCTCTGCTAACCACTGATGGAATGCATTAGCATGTTTAGCAAACTCCTTTCTTAATTTATCATTCTCTTCTTGACGTGTGGCTTCTTTAGCAAGTTCCACGTCACGTTCTTTAATTATCTTCTGTAAATTACGCCACGTATCTTCAAGTGCTTCCATGGTAAACCAAGTGTAAGGATTAGGTCCAACATTGAAACTCTTAATCTGACGATCAAGAGCAGCAAGAGCTTGGAAATCAGCTTCAGCTGATGAAAGACTGGCTTGGAATTGTGCATGAGCTTCACGAAGTGCCCGAATTTCCTCGATGCTATTACAACGAACAGGATCAGTTAAATCTTCTTCAGCATTTTCAAACCATGAATTAAATGCTGATGCTTTCTTGGCGAACGTAAGATAAAGCTCTTCAATCTGTCTAAATTGATCTTGCATACGAAGAAGGCGTTGTTTCCGCGCATCTGAATCAGCTAGAAGTTTCTGCCAACGAGTGATAACATCAGCATGACGTTTTTGGATACTTGCAGCTTGGTCATGACCAGAATCAACAAGTCTCTCCTTCAAACTTGTAATGTTTTGTATTCCCTCGTGTTCAAATGCATGCAAACCAGCATCAAATGTTTCCTGCTTGGTAAGCAAAGTTTGAACAGTAGATAAATCACGACCAAACTCTTCAGAACGAACGTGAGTCTCCTTATCAGCGATCCATGACTCAACAACATCAGCTTTCCACATAAATTGTAAGTAAGCTGAGTTATCGTTGAGACGAGTCTTCCTCTTAGAGGCCAAAGCACCAAGTTGTTCGAGTTTATTACGTAATTGATTACAACGTTGACTAATAGCATCAGCACGATGATTTCCTGCTTTGATCAAAGCCTCACCAGCTTCACAAATATCCTTACAGCGTTCTCCATGAGCTGCAAAGTCAGTTTCAAATGCTTCATGCTTTTTCAACAATCCTTGAACAGCTGCCATAGTATCTCCGTAATCTTCAACAGATAGAAGTTGTTGTTTCTCAGTAATCCATGCTTCTTCTTCTTCAACTTTAGCTAAAAATTGTTGATAAGTCAATGATTCATCAAGTTTTTGACCTCTAGTAGCTGCCAATTGTTTCAATTCAGCCCAAGCTTGATTCAAAAGTTTCAAACGTTGTTCAATTTCTGGGACACCAAGGTTAGAGACATCCATTAATTTTTCTCCAGCTTCTTGAACTGCTTGAATAGCTGGTTCATGACTTGCGAGTTCTGCTTCTAATCTCTTATGTTTTTTCTTCAAGTTTTGAACTCCAGTTAGGTCACGACCGTAGTCATCAGAGCCAACAAGTAATTTTTTCTCTTTAATCCATGATTCTTCATCAGCAATATCTCGGAAGAATTGATGAAGGGTATTGGCTTCATTTAATCGTGCTTGTCTATGTGCAGCCAAGTTTCGAATTCTTTCATAGCGTTCGTTAATGCTTTGACGTTTTTCCTGAATACCAGCAGCATCGAATTGTCCACTTTCAATCAAAGAATCTGCTTGTGCATTCATATCTTTAATTCTTTCTTCATGGGCTTGAATGTCAGCTTCAACCAATTGATGTTTTTTCATTAGATTCTGAACAGATGCAAGATCTTTACCAGCATCTTCTGTGGTCAATAAACTTTCAACTTCTCCCAGCCAGAAATCTAAGTCTTTCACTGCAGCAATATATGTACGTTGTTTGTTAGCTTCTTTTAATTTCAACGATTTCTCAGTAGTCTTCTGGGTTAGATATTCCCATTGATCAGCAATAGAAGCTAATCGTTTCTGAACAGCGTCTTCAGATCCAGCACATTGATGTTTTTCAATCAGATTTCCACCCATTGCCAACACTGATTGAATACGATCGGCATTGGCAGCCAATTCAGCTTCAAATGCTTGGTGCTTTTGATGCTTAGATTGAATATTAGCGGGATCTTTGTAATTTTCTTCAGTGGCAAGCTGCAATTTCTCAGCAATCCAATTTTCCATCTCATCAGCATCTCGAGAGAATTGTTGTAGAGTTTGAGATTCTCCTAATCTTGATCTCTTTTCAATAAGAGCATCTTTAAGATGTCTCCAACGATCAAGCACTTGACAGCGACGATCATCAATTGGCTTAGCAGCATAATGTTCAGCAGCTATTAATTGATCAGCTAATGTTTGAAGTGCAGCAATTTTCTCTTCATGAGCATTGATTGCCTTGTCAAAATCTTCGTGTTTTTTTATTAATGCTTCGACATTATCACTGCTGTCCACAGTATCAGCACTACTTAAAAATGCTTCTCGGGCACTCATCCAATTTTCAGCTTGTTCGCAATCTCTGCAGAATAATTGAAGTTCAAGATTTTGATCCAATTGCATACGTCTTTGAATCCAAGCTTTTTCTAATTCTTGTCTAGCTTCAGCCATTGATTCCAATTTTTCTTGAATTTCAATGCTTGCATAGTGACTGGACTGTAAAAGTTGTTGTCCAAATAATTCGAATGCTTGGAAAGTTCCAGCACGAGCATCGATTTCGGTTCTGTGTTCTTGATGACGTTCGAGTAAAGCTTCAGCGCCAGTGACATCAGAAGCTAATTCTTCCGAAGCAACGAGACCCATCATAGAATTAATCCAAGCCATAAGATCACGATAATCACTCAAGAAACGTTGTAAATCATAAGAATCAAGGAGTTTTTCTTTTCTTGAATTAGCTTTAGCAGTAAGTTGAGTCCATTCTTCATTAATTTCTTTTTGTTTAACATAAGTTTGCTCAGCTGTATCAGGATGTGATTGCATTAAACGATTTGCAGTTTCATCTAATTGTTTGATTTTATCTCCTAATGCCGCTAAATCTCTTTCCAAACCCTCATGCTTACGTTGAAGTGCTTGAACACTTCTTAAATCTTTACCAAGATCGTCATTATTAAGGGCTGCATCTTTCTCACGAATCCAATCTTTGGTTTCATCAACATCACGATGGAAACGTTGAACTTCATGAGCTGATCCAAGTTGACTAGCTCGTTCAGCTGTGAGAGTTTGTAAGCTGGTCCACTTTTCATTTAAATCTTGAATTTGGGTTTGAATTTTTAAAGCAGCCTCTGTTTGACCCAAACTCATTAATTGAACTGCTATCTCATTCATTTCTGCAAGTCGGACCTCATTTGCTTTCAGGTCAGCTTGGAAGTCATCGAATTTCTTTTGCATTACCTCAACTTGTTCTAAATCTTCACCGACATCTTGAACTTGAGCATGATTTTCTTTATCTTTAATCCAGGTAGCTAATTCTGCAGCTTCTCTGACTAATACATAAGCTTTTGCGGTTTCATTTAATTTATTCTGACGTTCTCGAGCAAGCTGAATTAAATCATCATATTGAGCTTGAATTTGTGCTTGTCTAGCGGCGATGGAACTCTGCTCACGAGCTAAATTTTGCTGAGAAGCACTTAAACCAGCCTCAGGCTCAACACGTTTTACATAAGCAGCAGGAACAAAGCCTTGTCTATCATTAACTTCAACTTTCCACCAGTCTTTGTTGTTAGAATTCAGAAGAGTCAAAGTGTCGCCTTTTTTCATGGACACTTCTCTGGGCGATTTTTCAGCATAATCATAAAGTGCTACAACACATTCTTTTCCGGCAATTTCAACTGTAGGAGTTTCTTGTTGTCTACAAGCCGATGCTTGTTCTCGTAAAGCAGCAATTGTGCTAGCAAACGCCTCTAAATCACTTACCAGAGCTTCATGTTTCTTCAATAATGCTTCAGAACTATCTTCATCCTTGCCGTAATCGGCATTGAGAACAATTGGTCTCTTTTCTTTCATCCATGATTCAGCTTCATTAGCATCAGCGAAATATTGATGAGCTTGGAGAGAATCGTCCAAGTCTACTTTACGTTGTCGAGCTTTCTCTTTCAATTGTCCCCAATGTTCATCAAGAGCTGACAAACGTTGACTAATTTCTTCTGCAGCAAAATGTCCTTCTTCAAGCATTCTTGAGCCTGCTTGACAAACAGCAGCTACTCTGGGTTCATGATTATTTATTTCAGCTAATACAGCTTGATGTTTTTTCTGCAAATTCTGTACTCCAATTAAATCACGACCACGATTTGTACTTGCTGCTACAGGTTCTTTTTCACGAATCCATGCTTCTTCATCTTCAATGTCTCGGAATAATTGTTGTACTTGTAGTGAATCTAATAGCCGTTGTTTTCTGATACTCATTGGTCGTTGTAATGCTGAGTAACGAGCTTGAAGTTGTTGCTGCTTCGTTTTAATATTTTCAGCATCAAAATGTCCTGTACTAACAAATTGTTCAGCTGCCTGAGCAATAGCATCAATTCTATCAGCATGAGAAGCGACATCAGCTTCCAAAAGAGCATGCTTTTTCTGAAGATTTTGTACACTCGTCAAGTCCTTGCCATAATCTTCTGACATCAATTGACCCTCAACTTCTGATAACCAAAGTTCAATATCTTCAACAGTGCGATTGAATTGCTGTTGTTGAGAAGCTTCTTGAAGTTTAGTACCTTTCTTCTCAGTAGCTTTAGCAAGGCTCTCCCATAAAGTCACGATTTCATCGATACGGGAACGAATACGATCACTTGCATAATGATTAGAATCAATTAAATCTTGTCCGTTGGATACCAATTCTTCCATTCGAGTTTTATTGGCATTTAGTTCTTGCTCAAAGTTCTGATGTTTCTGTACTTTTCCATTCAAGTTGGTAGGATCAAGATAGCTGTCATCAGTAGCAAACTTTAATTTTTCATTGACCCATCCTTTTGTTTCATCACAATCCCGTTCGAACTGCTGAAGTTTATAAGCATCTTCAAGTCGTTGACGTCTTTGAGCTGATTTCTCAAAGAGAACAATACGTCTGTCAAGCAGAAGTTGACGACGTTGAGCTACATCATCAGCTGCATAATGTTCACCTTCAATTAGTTTGCCAGCAAATTCATCTAAAGCCTTAATTTTCTCCTCTTGAGCAGCAAGAGACTTATCAAAGTCCTCATGTTTCTTAATTAAAGCTTCAACACTGTCGAGAGAGTCTCCTAAATCTTCATTGGCTAAAAATGCTTCTTGTTTAGCCATCCAAGCATCGGCTTGTTCAGTATCACGATAGAAGAGTTGAAGATCCATACATTGCTCATACAGAATACGCCTTTGTTCCCAAAGTTCGAGTAATGATGCTTTATCTTCGGCTAATGATGTTAATTTACGAGCTACCTCTTCAGCTGCGTAGTGTTTACGTTCTAGCAATTGATTTCCAGCTACTGTAGCAGCATCAAAACTATCAGCTCGTGCATCAATCTCTCCTTTGTGTTCTTGATGACGTTCGAGAAGTGCTTCAGCACCAGCCACATCTTTAGCTAGCTCATCAGCAGATATTATTGCTTTCATGTCATTCATCCAAGACACTAAATCTCTATAATCAGCCAAGAATCTATGTAGATAGTAAGATTCATCTAATTTCAATCGACGTTCTTTAGCTTTAGCTGTTAGGCTTTCCCATGATTGCAAGATTTCCGCCCGTTTTGCTCGAATTTGATTAGAATGATCAGCTTGATGAATTGCTGCTAAACGATCTGCTTCAGCACTTAATGTAGCCACTTTATCTTCAAGAGCTGCTAAATCACGTTCGATTCCTTCATGTTTACGTTGAAGAGTCTGAACACTTGCAAGATCTCGACCGAAATCATCTGACGATAGAACTACGTCTTTCTCAGCGATCCAGGTCATAGTCTCATCGGCATCACGATTAAATCTTTGAATTTCATGAGCTCCAAATAATTTTTCTTGTCGCAAAATAGCTAGTTGTTTCAATCTCTGCCAGGATTCATTTAATTCTTCTTTTCTTGCGAGAATTGTATCACGTTCGGGATGACCATCGAGTAAAAGTTTATCTGCGAGTTCGTTTACTTCAGTAACTCGATACTCCTGGCTTGCAACATCTTTTTGGAACTCATCAAATTTTCTTTGGAGTACTTCAACATGCTCTAAATCATGTCCGTATTCATCAGTAGTAACAAAAGCTTCTTTATCATGAATCCAAAACATTACTTCATCACAATGGCGCATAAATTGAACAAGAACCAATGCTTGTTGGAGTTTAAGACCTTTCTCAGCAAGTCGTGACAAAAGCAATTCCCAGAGTCGATGTAATTCGTCTAATCGTTTACGTATCATGTCACTGGAGAAATGATGTTGGGCTATCATCTCATGTCCAGTGTTGTCAAGAAGTACAATTGCATTGGAATGGGCAGCAACTTCTGCTTCGAATGCTTGATGTTTTTGAATTTTCGCTTGTAAGTTTGTTGGATCTTTGTAGTTTTCATCAGATGCCGCTTGTAATTTCTCATAAATCCAACCTTCGAGCTCATCCGCATCACGTTTAAAATACTGAAAAATAAATAAAACAGTGAGTCATCTAATTGATTGAGAGTTAATAGTAAATGTTTATGGCTTCCAAAAATAGTTGTGATGTAAGTCAATAATCATTAAGGTCAATAAAACTATTGTCAATTAATCGGTGACCTAATAACATACCTGAAAACGTCGGGAGTCTTCGAGCTTATCTCGCTTATTGCGAGCTTCGGTTTTGAAATTTGAATAACGGCTTAACACTTGTTCTCGCCGTTCTTGAATGTCCTCAGGATTTTCAAGAATTCTTACTTCCTTCGGTGTTATTTGATCCATTTTTTCAGTTGTTGTTAACGCCCAATAACCAAGAATTTAAGCCTAAAATGGCTGTTGGGTGTGGCGTAAATTAACTATTTGATAGCGGGATCAATAAGCTCACGAGAGAATGCGCACTTTTTCAATCTATAACCCTGCAAAATATATGATATAAATATTAATAAACTATTGAAATAATCTTTTCACACTGTATTTAATATGTAATTATTATTTATTTAATTTCAATAATTATTAAAAACAATATACTCCGAACACACATACTTCCTGATTACTTCACCGTTTCGTGAGTCACTGGCTTAAAACTGTTCTTTACGCCTTTGCCCGTCGTTATTCGGGAATCTTCGAATAATTGACGACATAACTGGACAATGTAACAATCTACTTTATTGACACATGATTATTTCGGCAGTTGGTAAAGAAAAAAAATTACTTTAGAGGGAGAATTTTGTTTATTTCAAAAATATTTACATTCAAACTAGATCAGATAAACACTTATTAGATCGAAAGTGTTTGTTTATCGTAGAAAATTTGACTTTAATCTGGTAAATTTCCACAATAAATGTAAGTTATAGAGTCTTTGTTTATTTTTCTTTGTTAGAATATGATGTATTAAAAAAGACATCATTAATTAAATTATCAAATCAATTTTTATATATAATTTTGGGTATGTAAAAAAAAGACTTTCTATTACTGATTCTCGAATAAATTTTTATTATTCATTGATTAGTCATGTTTCTTATCTACGAGTTTGTTAACCCTAATTTATACTTTTTAAATACCATTTGATTTTATTATACTTTAAAAGATTTATTAAAGGCAAAAAAGAATTTCTTACGAATTCCAAGACATTTTTTATCACTGAAGAAATAATGATGAAAAGAAAAAAAATGATGAGATTAAATAAAAAAAAGTATGTAAAGAATGTCGTTATCAAAATGAGTCGTCTTCCTGATATTATAAAATTATCGAGACATCAAAGTGATAATAATGATTGGTCAATTTATCCACCAAGAAGTTAATTATGTTAAATAAGTAATAATTATGAAAGAGATAAGGATATAATGAAGAAAAATTATTATTATTATCATACAGTATTATTTTATTAAATTTCACCTAGAAACAACGAATCACAGAACGTTACATTAGAGTTCCTTATATCGATTTATCATATTTCACATTTTACAAGTAAATTATTTAATTGTGTTTTTTATTTCTACTATAGTAAAGTCTTATCTGTTAAAATATCTGTAATGTAATCAATGTAAATTGAATGTACCTAAAAAATAGGTTGTTTTGTTGCAGTAATCATTCGACAATTTACAAATATTACTCACTTGATTATTTGTTGTATTAATTAATTCGTAAAAGTTATGTTTGTTTTTATTTATTGATGTAATAGGTACTTGCTTCTTCAGTTGTACTCTGATTTCAAAATTTAAACATATTCTTATGTTAAAATTTTTCATTTAAATACATATTATATAATTATCGCTTCAAAATGTTGACATATTAAAATTTTATTACTATTATGTTCTTTTTGTTCTTTAAATTTAAATCTCTTGAAAATGAGAGGATAATTGGGTCAAGGAGACATGTCATATTTTTAAGTACTGACGATGAGACAATGACAGTATCATGATACGAGTTTATAAAGGATTTTTTTTTTCATCTTTTAAAAGGCAACTTTGTCTTTGTAATTACATAAAGGCAATTTGCTTTGTATCATTAGTATGTCTGGCGTCCCGGAATATTTATTGTTATGACTTCTATATCTTTTTATTATGTTTCTTTTCATTATCATAATTATTATCATTACCATTTCTATGATATTGTTAATATTCATTAATTATTTATATCAAATTTTCTTGTTGAAAATGCGTGGGATCGTCACAGGCATTATTGGCAGCATAAGATCAGTGTACAGTATTGCATTAAACTGTAACTAGATAAACAGAAAAAAAAATTCAAGGCTATAAACAAAAGAAACAAAAAATTTACATTCAGAGAGCACTGCTGAGCTGTACGTTTACATACCCAATTATTTTATAATCATTTAATCAATAAAAATGTTTTTTTTTTATTGGCATAGGTAACACACTGGGTACGTTACGTATCCAAGAATTTTTTTAATAATTACTTAATTGTTCATTCACAGATTTTCATTTGTCTTTATATGAAACAACAATTATAACTATTTATTTATAGTTTTTTTCCGATAGATATTTGCTTTACCTCTCATTTAATAATTTTTATATACAAAATTGTTACTATGAGACATATTTATTTAAAAAGCTCACGACGCGAGTCAGTGCGTGAATAAATAATATAATAAACTTTACTTAAATGTTAATTAATATTATTACATTATCCCAGGTTGATCAGGGAGAGGCAACGCACTTATTATACAATATATAATGCTTCGTATAAAAACTTGGAAGCTTTCTCAATGTGCGCTATTGAATGCAATCGCTTGATTTGACATTAATGTTAAGGAATTAATTAATCTGAGCATTGGTCAAGTGTGAGATTGGTACAAATGTTGTACTTTGACGATTTCATTATCATTATTATCTGAATATTCGCATGCATCCTCGTCCTTGATCCCTGATGTGGTGTAATACATCTCACAGAGACACATCGACACTCACAATTTACAACATAACGTACAATATATATCCAATATATATTTTATATTATTTATCATATACATTATTTTATTTTTAATAAAACTTACTAAACATGTACTTTTTATATAATATATACACAAATTTAGATAATGTCTGTTTCAATATTTTTTTTTCTTTACCAACCAATAACAGAATAGATTGCTCAATAACACATTCTTGGACCTCATTTTATTAATCAGCCAGCACCAACTTACACCTTTAAACTCTCTCAGTTCATTAAAATATTCTTACCACATCACTCTTTTTTTTTTTAAACTTTTTATTCATTTAAAAATATACTGTGTAACCCTCCCTGAGCTCTAGCTCCCTAACTCACACTTTTCTTTTTTTATTTTCTTCCTAATTTTTTTTTGCAACATTCATACAATTATCCACACGCATTCAGACATCATGTACATTAGCCCTCTTCCCAAAAACTTTCAAACGTTTTATCTTCAACCATTTCACAGCCCACATTTCGTTATATTTCAAATTATTTTTTTTATCCATATTCCTTTTTCTCTATAATTTCTTTCCAACAACAATTTTTTAATTTTTTTTATAAAGTTATCAAATATACAATAAATAATTTCTTGAATCTAAATATACAATTTCTTTTTTTTTTTTTTTCTAGACTCTAGATGAGTTTAAGTAAATTGCCTGTTAAATTTTCCATCTATTTTCCTTCTCTCTTTCTCTTTTTTTAAATATTTTTTTCGATAATTTTTTTTTAAAGAGTTACAACAATACGAGCACCATTCAAGTTACGTTAAAATGTTCATCTCCATTTACATAATTTAATGAAATAAGTCGTTGAGTTTCATATAAAATTTCACCGAACGATATAAAACCAATAGGTATTATGTAATCTGTATATATAAATAATGTCCTTTACATGGACAAGGACAAAAATGTGAAAATAGTGGATTCGATGCTTTTACTTGAGAAAAATAACAGCTAGAATATGAAATGTAATGGAGTCAGAGAGGGTACTGCATTGTTTTAAGAGATGTGCCAAAGCTATTTGACACTTTTTGGCAGGAAGAGCTCAACAATCTTGAACCAGTCAACTTGTCCAAATAGCGTAGTACGTTTCTGTCATATAATATTCCAAGCCTCATCTCACGCACCTGTACAATCAATTTCTACAATATCTTTTGGTACATCAACAAATTGATAGACCAGTCTTTGTCCATCAACTTTAGCGAGTATTCCACGCTGATAATAGTATCTCAATGCCCTTCCCATTGTCTCATAATTCATGTCTGGTTTATTTTTATGCAGACCCCACAGTCGTGAAACAGCTTTACTATCAACAAGTTTAAAAACACCCCTCTCACGATTTGTCCACTTTATATATCTCGGGCAATATTCCCTATCTTGCAACAACTTGAGAAGAAATTCCCACAAGTAAGTCGTAGAACCTTCGCGAGATTTCCTCTTGACTGTTGCACCTTCTCCCTGTCGTGCCTTCTTCAGCTTGTTTTTCTTTGCTCGTGGAGGGAATCCAAGTTCTAAAAGATACAAATCGTCTGATACAGAACTCGTTGCTGCTTGAATTACACTTGTTGGTACTCCACCAGGTCCTCGTGGGGGACTTGGTGTACACGGCGTTGCGAATTGACCACTTCCACTGTACATTGAATTTACATAACTATTGTAGCTTTCCGTTACTGTAAAAATAAAAATCATTTATTTATTAACTGTACATTTTTGAAAAAAAAAAAAAAAATTCATCAAAGTTCTAATTTTGTTTTATATTCTCTGCTTTATTTATTCAGAATTAAATTAATTCTGGAATCTGCGTTAGATATTTATCCAATAGAAGAATTTATTTTTTGATTATTTCAATGAAAGGTTTATCGTTTCAATGACCTTTTGACATTTATATACATTACAGTGAAATTATTATATAAGACAATAATTAAGTTATTATTTTCTGTAATTATTTCATGTGACTAATAATTCTATTAAAGAAGATTATTTGAATTTTTTTTTAAAATAAAAATTTTAAACTTTGCAATTTCATTTAATTTTATTTAATTCAATTATAAAAAGTTATTTATACCTTGATAATATTTCAACGTAATTGAAAAATATATTTTAAAAATTCATAGAAGTTATTTAAAGAATCCAATCAATCACAGAAACTACATTGTTTTATTCTTGCACCTTGTTCAAAAAAGAAAAAAACTTCAAGGTATATCGTAACTGAAAAAAGACATTTTAGTATCTGCCTACTCTATTTTTTCTCAGCTCAATCTTTTATTCTAGTGAACATCGTTAGTCAATTTTCAATTCAGTTTCTTTTTAATTTAATTAACCAAACCAATGAAGTAGTAAAAAGAATTTGAACTTTTAATCTCCAATGAAGACAATTAGCACAAATTTTGATTGCAATTATCTTTCCACAAATTATTGATTGAAAATAAATAAAAATACACCTTTAGATATGTTTATCTCAAAAAATTTTTTACAAAAATTGCAACAATGTGAAAACATCAGACAATGATGATTATTATCAGAGTTGTATGTTCTGAATATAAGAAAATTAGCAGGTGCGTGTAATGGATTAGATGTCTGTGTTAAATAATGAAGTAAAAATTGAATCGAGTATAGTTTAGGTTTAGATGGACGTATAAACGAGAACAGGATTGATCTCGTGGGAGCAGAGAGCGAGTCCAGAAGCATGACGAGTGAGAAGGGAAACACAAGGGGCGTGAAGAGTGAAGAGAACTGTCTGCAGTCTACAACTCTACAGTGTGATAGAGGACTGACCCGAGTCAAGGTTGTATGGTGACGCCATCAGCTTTTAGTGTGTAATGACAACGTTTTATGAGGCCACGGTTAACATTTAAGAAAACAGTAATGTATATATGCATCACCAATGTATATCTCCTTCCGTTCTCACTTTGAAATGTCTACTCATGAAAATTGTCTTAAAAATACTACAACTGAATTGCGGATCAAGTACACAGCAGCAAGAGTAGAAAAAGATGGAAATAAAAATAACAAGAAATCCCGGCGAATTCTTCTTTGAGCTGTGCTACCAATGCTTAGTCTAAAAATATAAGAACTGTTGTGTGCTCTTTCTCTTCCTCTTCTTCTTCTTCATCTTCTTCAACTTGGTCTTTTTCTTATTACCCTGTAGACCCCGGGAGTTCTCAGTATCATGCAGGAACTTTTCGCAATGTTCATCACTTAATACCGCGGCTAGTCAACTGTTTACCTACTCCATATGACTTATAGCTTAGATGAGTCAATCGTAGACCGTTGTGTCTAGGATCAGAGTGGGGAAGAGGCTGACTTCACTGACCTACACCACTGCGATATACAACGCTGAGGTATAACCGAGGCCATTGTGAACTCGCTATCATTCACACTGATTATCTATTTATTACATTAGAGAACAGATAATAATATATACATTTATATTTATCAGTGATATTTTTGCATTCAATCCTAATCTCTGTTGACTTTTTACGGTCATACAATCAATATTGCAGAAAATAATCATTTTATTATACTTAAAAATTAAACTCGAATGATTTTTTATGAAGAAAAAAAATTTTCACTTTTCCATTGCACGTTTTTTCTCTTTTTTTCTTTTTATCAATACCGAAGTATTTTGTTTATAGATTTTTATAACCAGCCATCGATATCTTGTTAACTTGAAATGTTTTTTGCAACGGCTGTATTTATCAGATAAAAAAAATTCCAAGTATAAAAATAAAATAGCAATTGCAAGCTGCAGGATCAATTACCCGGTAGTCTTTCTTCCTGACAGTCGTGACAGGAAGTTTAGGCGAATGCGAAACGCGTCATGGAATCAGAGGTTAAAAATACATTGCGTTGGGGCGTCTTAACCATCAGCAGCAGCAATGCTGCAGACTTAGAAAGAGAGAAAAAAAATTGAGCAGGGAAGTTGAGAAGTAGTGTAGTAGTGGTAGTTGTTGTTGTTGTAGTTGTCGTAGTAGTAATAGTAGTAGTGAAGTACTCGTTTATTTTGCAAGAATTTGCGCTAGCAGCTCGCGACCGGAAGTACAAGTATAGCAAAGCCGGAGAGAAGAGTAGTCAATATATATAAAGAGGGAAGGGTATGACGAGCAAGAGTTGATGAGACGAAAGGGGAATGCTGATCATCAGGCTTCTATGTAGCAAGGTGGGGATTCCAGGGACGCGGCAATCTCACGACTAAATTGTTGAAAGAAAGGGTTGTAAGCAAAAACACGACATTGAGCCTGAAAGTAACTGATGCTGTTACCGGAATTGTGGATGACAGGTGATGGTGATGACTAAAAGTCAGATAATAATAACACAATAAGTGCTAAAACAAAATTAGATTATTGCCTTTATCATCCAGCTCATTTGTACCCGGATGTTCTGATCTCGTTGAGCAAACAGGATATTGTTTTCTAAAAAAACATCCTGATATTTTTTTCCTGGTAAAGTTGATGATTAATTATTTGGGTTTGAGATAAAGTTGAAAGAATTTAAAGTTACTCTCACTAATGACGTAAAGTATTGATGAATTATTAAATAGACTAGATAATTAGGAAGAAAGAGATTAGTAATTGTGTGTGACTGTTGATCGCGTGAACTCCAAGTGCATAGAAGAGCAGAGAGTGAAAAAGAGAGAGTAGGATAAAGATGGACGAAGTGCATAAGAGAAGGGGAGAGTTGACCTTCAGCTGCGCCGGGAAAGTCAGCCAGTCACTGACCGACAGACTAACTTAACTGCTCTATCCTTCTTCTTTCTTTCTTTCTCTCTCCCTCTGTCTCTCTTGTTTCTCTCTCCCTATCTCTCTTCTCTCTACGCCGATTCGCAACTGCTAGTCTGATGCACCATACGCGCACGTCCACCTCTCTCTTTCCTTTTATTTTGTCTCTGTGGCCATGTCTTTCTCTCTCTCTTTTGCGACCCGACCCGCCAGATCGTCAAGTTGTGCACCATCAACTACCAAACTCTTCCATCATCCTCTTCCTTCTATAACCGCAATCATTATTTGTCTCCACCGTTAAATATTTCCCAATAAATTGGGATTGTAAAACCACTGGTACTAAACAAAAGTCATGAGTGAGGTTTTATTTTAATAAGTAACTTCTTCTTCCTCATCATCATTATTATCAACATCATGCCACCAAGACGATTATTTGAGTCTGCTCATTTCACTTTCAGCTCTCAGGCTACGTCGACAAGGAAAGTTAAAGTCTTCCTCTTAACCCGTGACGTCACCCTTTGCAGTATTCCCCACTCTCCTAGACACTTGATTCGTCTAGTCTAGTGTTCTCAATGGGACATGTAATAGTAGGTCTAGGTCTAGGTCTAGCCTAGGTCTAGGTTGCTAATGCAACTTTATAATCAAGTCATGTTTTATTACTTACGCATCGATTCATTGCATGATTTGTTAATAAATAGATAAATGCATACGCAGTTAACGATACTTTTATTCTTGTCTCTCTTTATTTTGCATTGCAAGTGATACGAGGGTAGAGCAAGAAAGCGAGAAAGTAGGCTCAAGTGACGTGTACGCATTGAACGCGGATATAAGTACTCTGACAACGCTTAAACTGGTGCATTATATTTAGAAACTTGCTTAGTGTAAGTGAGTACAAATATATGAGGGTTCACTTTGAGAAGTAAAAAGCACGAAAAAATGTGAATTTATAGCTGTAAAGTATATTAAGTAAATTGAGAACAAAATTTTCGAGTAATTGATGATCATTTCTTTTTATCAAAATGTGTGGAATTAAGACGTTTTATTCAATTTTTATACTTTGCTATAAAACATATTATTTATCTAAGATACGATGTTTATTACATTCAAATAAATTTCTAAATATCATTACCTTTATTTAACTCAAAATCAGACTCATGAAATGTTAAAAAAAAATAATTATTATAGATATATAGTGGTGAAGCGCTGATTGATTTATCATAAACAAAGTTTAAATGTCATTTGAAATGATTTCAGTCATTAAGATAACTGAGTTTAATTCAAATAGCAGTAAGCAGGAAAAAGGAAATACATGTTGACGCAACTACATTTAAAATACAATCTACGAGACAATAAGTAATAATGTATACAATAAAAATACTTTTTTTTCCATCCATAAAACAAATTGTGATTTTAGAAGATTAAATTTATAAATAAATATTACATGATAAAATAAAGCGATGTCTTATCTTCTATAATAATTTATATATTCTCTGATAATCTTAATTCCTACTATGCAAAATCCAATTTATTGTCAGGCAAAATAAAAGCTGATTCTAACAGTAAATTAATGTTAACATTTAGCAACAAATCAAAGAAACTAACATACAAAGTGGCAATAAATAAAAGATCACTCATGTTGAGCTATAAAAAAAATTCATTCAATTACTCAACGATTATTTTTATGATGTTGTATGGACGTTAAACAAAATTAACTACACTGTAAAAATGGTTGGATATGTGTCTGAGTAGCTGGTGATGCAGCCCTTTAAGCCCCGGAATAGTGAAAAGCGTGAAGCAGCCGTCAGGATCTAGAGTACTTGAGGATCAGATGAGTACAATGTATATATATATATATATATATATATATACCGGAAATGAATCATTTGGTAATTTTTATTTGGTTGTTTGGCATAAACTGCGATTAAGGGAATGCAAAAACTAGTGAAGGGATAAATACAGATAGAAGGATGATTTTTTTTTTAGGTTCCTTCGATAATAGGATGAAAGATGAGATGTGATACATTATATACGGATGTGGGACAGAGTGCGAGGAGGTTGTTGAGGAGAATAAGAGGAAATCTGGAACGAGTAGAGGGGTAAAAGAAGGTAGAATAAGCAAGGGCGGAGAAAAAAGGAGGGAAGAGGGAGTGGTGCAGGCGGTTGCCACTGCTTAGCTATTGGATCTGCTCGGGAGTCAGTCGGCGGAGAGCGACGTGGGGAAGGGACAAACGGGGTGAATTGCCGGCGACAAGGTCACCGTCTATACCTCGCTAAAACGACGATGCCTCCTCTTCGAGTATTATACATACTTGCACGGCACACTCTAGTCCGAATGTGCCAACGCACTACACTCGTGTGCATATACACATTAAACACACACATGCCACCATCGACTCGTGCTCTCTGCGTCCGGGAACATGAACAATCTTCGTGTTGGTGTGTGTCTCGTCAGATGCACATAATGGAATGAGGAAAGTGACACTCAGCAACCATGGAATTCGGTCATTAACTATTTATCAGCAGGAAAAAAACTTTGCCAGTAAAAAACACTTTTTTACATCAACCAAATAAATAGCAATTTATCTACTGTATTTAACTTGATATGCTTTTTCAGTCAGTTATTATTTTTGCTAAAAATTTTAGCTCTTTTCAAAATGTGTCTGTCTGATGCTGTTGCTGCTAGTGATGATGGGCTAGGATATTATTCAGGCCTTGAAGAGAGAGAGAGAGAGAGGAATAATTTTTTTATCCTCTAGCACTGGATGAATATGCATCAGTATGAACAAAGTTGTTATCAGCACATAATATTTATACTCGTTTAATCAACACGATTCCCCGTTAGCGGGAAGAATTATCGATCATTCACAAGTCTAAATAGTCCAATCGTGTGAGTTGAGAACCGTTTGTCCCTCTCGCAGCGCTATGCATTTTTCTCGACATCAGAGTGTGCGAGAGTGAAGAGCATTAGTAGATGTATTATATATGTATACATGTGGTGAGCAATACATTTGAAGATAGTAGTATATAGTCGATATTATAGTGTAAGAGAATACATAGAAAAGTACGCTCTGATAATATGGGCACTGCAAATATACAATACCGCACAATACTATGTATCGTCAGCACAGGGGCAGAGACCCAGGAAGGACACGCGCCGCCAGTCGCCGGCAGACATACACTCGGCTATCGCCGTTGAGACCGCTTATTTCTAGGTATAACGCACAAAGAAGATATCTAGACATCTGAGAGGATGCACCGAAATGAAATACACTCTGTATCCTCCTTACATTTTTATGATAATTTTTCGTTTGTTTTACCGTTTATCTACATTTGATGAACTACATTTACATTCATTTGCTGACTTATTTTTTTCTCAGTAAAATACTTCATTAATTCGTTGCATTTTTTATTTTTCTCTTCAATAATATACCATTTATTGGTTCTCCAAGGCTGCTCAGAATAAATAATAGTATATTTAATAAATAATTACTGATGAGAAGTGGCACAAATTGTCTTTAATCATTTTTACAGTAATCAATTTTTGGAGTGAAGAAAATGGAGTAGATTATTTTTTCATAACGGATTTAAATTTTAAAAAAATCCATTTGTTGAATAAATATAAAACGTGACAAGTAATTAATTACTTGATGTTATTTTATAAGGCTTCTAAAAGTTTCATTGTTAGTAATAAATATGGAAAATCAGTACAAAAGATATTTTGCCCTTTTACAGTGTAGAAAAAAAGTAAATTTTAAAATGAAAGATTTTTAATAAATATAGGAAAAGTAATGTAAAAAAGCATTGAAATTTTCATTCCGAAAATAAAGACTTTTTTACAGACTATTCAAAGAACTTTAGCTCTGTGTTACCGTTGTTCACTTTATATTAAATATTTCTACTGAACTGTCCTGAAAATAATTTTTTTTTTTCATTCAAAGATCATAAATAGATCATTATAGGATTGATCAAAATTTTATAGAATTTACTAAAAAAAAAAAAATGATTTTGTTCTCTTATATGTACTTGATATTTTTACTGCTGATCTAATCAAAACTAAATTTGAATCCTCCATTTTTTATTTTTTTTTCACATTTATTTTTAATCTCAGAAGAAAAGTTTACGTTTTGACTTTGATAAAAATAGACTCAATTTTAGCAATTCTTCTTTGTAAAATATTTTTTTTAAAATATCACTAAAAATATTTATTTTCAACATAAAATATCACTTCCTTATAGTTTTTCTTTTATTTATAATTCACTATCAAGAGTTCTCAAAAAAAAAATCACAAATAAAACAAACCACTTGACTAAATTTTGATGTCTGAGAAAGACAGATATCAATCATTGATTTTATCACTAAATTAATTAACCTGATCGATATAATTATCTCACTCTATATCAATTGGATTTTCCATGCTCATTGAAACAAGTCTTATCTCAAAACTTAAAATTTAAACGAAAAAAATAATTTTCTCCTAATCATCATCAAACACTAAAACTAATATCTTTCTATTTCTTTCTAAATAAACGCACATTTTTATCTCTAATCTGATTGATTGTCTTGAATGATTCCCCATAACACCGAATCTCACTATCTAATTTAGCATTATCAATCATTCATCCTAGATCTCATATTATTATCACCAAATAATAATCTGACAAAAAATTGGGTTATATTATTTACGTAAATGAATATAAATTTATATCATTTTTCAGGCTTTTAGCATTTTTATCTGATGGGAAAGCTTTTAAAGCGAGGCTTAGAAAAAATCTAAAGGATATTAGTAATTTAGTAATTAGAAACAAAAAAGTATAATTTTCATGAGAATTTAAAATGAGTGTAATAATAGAGAGAGAAAAGTAGGAGGAGGAGAAGAGATAAATATACGGGTAGACTGCGCTAACAACCGACCTAGACCTAGACTACGATAGACTCTACTCTCAACTCCATCAAATATACTTTTATTTTTACTCTTCTCATTCTCTACGTCATCATCTGTATCTCTCTTCACTATCGTCCATACATACTGGCATCATTTGTAAGGGAAAGAAAGGAATCTTTCAATCAGCTTCTTCTACTCATTTATATGACGATGTTAATCTCCACAAATTTATCTTGCTATGTTTCATATATATTTATATATATATGTAAATATGGCAATGTAAATAGTTGTATTCCAAGCGATAAAGTTAATATTTAAAATAAATGAATTCAAGAACTGCTCAAAATTTTATATTTAAACACTTGTCGATCATTTAAGGTATTTTTATATTCATTTATTCCCCTACTTTTTTTGCTGAATAAGTTGCGTGGGCCTCTTGCGTATATTAAATGGCAATCTTTTAAAAATATCCAGCCAAGTACTTGATCTGGGACAACTAAAATGTTCTTGATCCCATCGCTAATATATTTAAGTTTAATTAAACTTGGTATCATTTTTGTCCACCTTCATTACATCATCAGCATAAAATATTGATGTCTATTTTTAATAATGATGAAAATGGCTTGTTAATATCGCCTTTAATGTTCATTAATTTATTTACATATTTATTTTGCTCATTTTTATCGAATAAAAATTGATAAAAAGAAACCTTCGTTGCGTCGGTGTAAAAAGCAGCCAGACAGAGAGAATCCGCTTACGATATCGAATGTAATAAAAGTGAAATCTACAGGGCCATTTCGTAATGTTGACACTGATGGTATATTCAATCGTTTGGACTCTTTATGACAATATGACTTTCCTTAATCAGTTGATTTCTCAATTGAGATTTGTTTGGAAAATCCCTGAATGAACGTGCTCTTGATATAATTGAGGAAAAATGTAAAACTAGTTCACGCAAATAACCGATAAGAGGATGTGACTTTTTTTTAGTCAAGAGTAGTGTAAATACAGTGTGGAAATATTTGTAATGTATTGTCTGTGATGAAAATGCGGTAATGTGACGAGATTGGAATGGCATCAGAGTCATATCTGTTGGCATAGTATCCGCAATGGGAACACAGCGGCAGCGGGGTCTCTTGAAGTTACCAAATCGTCGTGGCGCAACATTTTGCTTATTCACGTTCGATTATACAATCCGACACACTTTTACTCGGCATCCCGTCACTACTGCCGTCTGTTGCTGCTGAGTGGGCACAACTCAACTCGATTCTCATTCGTCAACTATTCTATTATTCTTCTGAGACAATTCCTAAACACTGACTTATCATCATTCTACTTCCTGCTACCTGCTTAATATTACTTTTTCAACTATTTACCTACATGAATTACTTTTTATGTATTTACTCTTCAGCACTTGATAGTCATCGATTAATCTATAAAACATTATTTCTTTTTTACCATGGATAAAATATATTGACTTGATGTGGTAAGAGACATTCAAGTTTCGATTTTTTTTAGAAAAAATTATAAATTAATGGACTTTAATTTAGAACAATCAGCTATCATTTGGACATTTAGGTCACGAGTATTTAAAAATCATAGACGATTTACCATCTTGAAAAAGGTTATTTTTAACGACAAAAGCAAAGAATATAAGTTGAAAAATTATTGAGTAATATTTTCTTGAAAAACTTACACGTCGATGGCTGGCGATAATGGAGATGCTGAAGACTTTGAGTTTGGTGATGGTGATGGTGATGATGTGGTGGTCCCATAGTTGATGGCATTGCATGGCCATTGTGAGGATGATGCGGCGAACTTCCTCGATGGGGATGGTATTGGGAAGGATGGTGTTGATGGGGATGGTAAGAAGGTGGCAAGAATCCTGTTGATGTTGAGTAAACTCCAGGACTGTGACAAGCCGATCTAGCAATAGCTGCTGTTACCAATAAAATATTTACATTCATTATTGATTGACAATGACTAGATACTGAATAATATTTACAATTATTTAAATTTCAAAAATCATATTCAATATTTTGCAGTCATTCTTATTTTAAGTAAAGAGGTTATTACAGACAGTTGAATGAACGCTACTGATTACTTTTATTAATTATTCCAACGATAATATTGAGCAATAGCTAAACCATTTGTATTTGAATTGTATATGCAAAGAAAAATTTTGAAACTCATTATTTCTAACCTTCAGTTCTTTTTTTTTTTCAATTTCTTTTTTTCAAGTCATTTTTTCTTAGCTTACATTTCAAAATCATTTGAATAAATAAAAAAAATCTTCTGTAAGACTGAATGACAATTAATTAGAATACATTAACCCGACAATAAAATGGGACATTTATTTTGATAAATGAATTTGCAAAGAAAAAAAAATTTACCTGACGGCAAGTGAGAGTGGTGTGATCCGAGACTCGATTGGAGGGATGAGTTTGGGTTGAGTCTCGCTTTGAGCAATAAATTTGCGTCCTCATTGCCACCAGATGATGTACTAGACTCTACATCACTGACTCCACTATCGGCAGGACTTGCTGGCAGTGATCCACTTCCTGATTACAAGAAAAATTATAGGAAAAAAAGAATTAATTCACCAAAAAAAAAATAATAAATAAAAATAAAATAAGTAACAAAATGAGTCCAAGTTTCTGCTATTATCAATCAAATATGTAAATAAAAAAGAATAAAGTTGAAAAAAATGAGATGTAAGATGAAGACAACAACGAAAGGGCATGATTGAATGTGCAAACTTGTTTTCGCGTGGCTGTTCAATTAAAGGTATCTTTATGCAAGAAGCCGAAGGTCATCTTGTCATTGGTATGCATGCAGCCATAGTATTCCCACGGTAACCAAGCTAAGAAGACAATTGAAACTCGTTCAAAAGGGTTTCTGATGCTAAGTAGTAGCAGCAGTAACAGTACAGCAGCAACTTATCGACATTACTTTTATTATCACCAACTTGTAAAAGAACTTTTAAAAAAATTTTTGGAATAATGATAGAGAGAATTCAAGATGAACCAACGTCTATTTACCTGGTGTATTTGTAGTAGGAATAGCGTTTGTGCTATAGGGAGGTTGTCCTAATTGAACATGATTTGTTAAATGTCTTGTATAACCACTTGGAATACCAAGGCTATGCTGTTGAGGATGCTGTGACAATATCCCATGAAGTAAACGAGCTCCTGTTGTGCTACCTGGCTCAGCTTTTACTGTTGCAAGACCCATAGCTTCATCCTCTCGTGACGAATCATGAGGTGCCTGTATTTCCCTCGTGTCCACTGTAAATTCCAAGAAGTTAATAAAATATTTGTCATGCAATATTTAATGATAAAAAAAAAATAATGTTTCTGCTTCATGACTCGATAGACCGCATTATGTGTTTGAAAAGTATTGAGATAGGCAGTAAGTGAGTTGTATAGACCGCTGGAGAGGAAGTGAAAGCCACAGTGTAGACTCTCCTTGACCCACTGCAACGTTTCTACCTTCCTTTCAGGCAGCAGCTACTACCATCAGGTTCATTAAGCAATTTCTCAACGAGTTCATCGGTATCAGGGAAAAATTGTCGTGGAAAATAAATATCTATACTCTCCACACTAGGCCTTGTTTCAGTTTTCATAAAGTCTTGTGACTTTTTTCTTGAATATTATTACTGTTATTACATAAAAGTCATGTAGGTGTTTGTAATTTAGTACGTTATGACCAAGAGGGTCATACAATAAATGGTCACAGGATTAGCTGTCAAAATATTGAGGCCAATTGCCCATATCCACTCACTTGGGACTACGTATAGCTGTGAGATAATCACAATCATGACGTTTATAATCGTGTTTTATGGCTTAAAACGCAAATGGCATTTTTCATACACCACTGACTATTCAAAATATGCGTGCACGTGTACATTTAATATTTTATTTATCACACTACTTGATATTTTTAAGCTCAAATTCTTATTTTATTTTCTTCGTAAAATGATAAAAATAAATATTTCATTATAATTAACCTTATTATTTTTCCTTCCAATCATGAAAATTTAAATATTTTTCAACAAGTTTGTATTGTATGACTTTATCATAATTGTTTTTTAAATATGATTTATAGTGAGTTCTTTTTTAAGGGTTCGATATTGAGCAGTAAACATTACTTGCATGTAGTCAATAGTACAGTAATATTAGTCGTGTATGTGCCAATGCCACGTAACGAATACCAAGTTGTACGACAAATACACCTGGCATTGCGTAAAATGCTCACGTATACGTGTTCCCTATACCGCTTATTGGAAAACAACATTTTTAAATTCATAAGAATTTGCTATTTTTCCTTATGTTTTATTCGATGAAAACACGAATAAAGTATAGTAATTAATAATTTAAAAAAATCATTAAAGATAATAAGATTAATTTATGATTAAAGAGAGGTGATGTTGGAGATGTTAATCGTCAAACTTTGTAACCTTGTGCTTAATTCAAACAAAAACAAAAGCTCTAAACTGCTAGCAAGTCAATTAATTCTTATATAAAAGCGGGTGGTTGGTGAGCTTACAATTGACCTTGTGCGACCTTAATGTGAACGGAACATTGACAAAAACTTGAGCGAACACAGAAAAATAAATGAAAGGCTATAGAGAGAGCAATAGTCGTCTAGCCACATCGATCCAGTAGATATCCTACATTTATCCTTATCCTGTGCTTCAATCCGCTCCATCAACGCCTACATTTAATCAATTTTTTGTCTGTTATTCTCTTGAGAATTTTTCCTACAAAGATGATATTAGCCCATCAAAGTCTAAATTAAATGAATCAAAAAGCTCCATCAAACTTGAAATAACTTCGAAATTCTACTATAAAAATATTTAAGAAGTCCTGCTGTTTTTTATTCGAAATTTTTTTCGCTTATCTTTCAGGACCTTCTAGGGGTTTATATTAACTCATTAAAGCCTTAATTAATGGTATAAAAAATTTAATTTTGAATTTCCTCCTCTTTTTATACTTCACTACATGAACTGAAAAAAATCCTCAACTCCTGTTAACTTCAGAATTTATGAGATTTCTTTGTGATAGCTTTTTTCTTTATTTCTCATTGCTTTCATTAAAAGAAAAATAGTTAATTATTATTATTATCAGACTTTCAATTAAATAAATTTAAATATCTTATTGAACTTATGAAGTAACCTTTAAACTTTAAAGTTATTGAGAATATACAAAGTTAAATTTTTTCCTCAACAAACTATCTGTTATTAACTGATCATCAAAGTGCAAATTAACTGTTTCAAAATATTTCTCATCTCAAAGTTTAAGCAAAAACCTATTAATCTCACTGTTTATCATTATATTATTTATTAATTCCCTTTTTCCTTCTAATTCCGTGATGATTATGTAATATTATCCTATCGAAGACTTACTTAAAAAATCATTATGAATTTATAATGATTCTTCTTTCGAAATAATTTATTCTCGAATGATCTTAAAATGGCAACGGAAGGGAAAGTGACATAAGCTTAAAACACTAAACATTAGAAAAATGATAAATTTACAAATAAATATACTCATTAATCATATTATTATAAATAAATAATTTTATCTTTTTTTATTTTAATAGATAACTTTTTTTATTATTATTTTCAGTCTATGGGATATTTTTTTGTGTACAATTAAAATTGATTTATAACCCGGAATAAATTCAAACAGACTTGAAATAATTTTCCTGTTACTTAAATTAATCAATTAATTATAGTGTGTTATTTAGTTATTTTAAAAATAATTTGTCCGTTAAGTTTAAATTTAACTAGATGAGGTGGCTGATGTTAGTGTTAGTACGTAAGGTCAGCATTTGGACAGACAGAATACTTTCTCTGTGTGTAAACGTAAACATATGATAGAAGTTGGCATTTGTGTCCGGCATTGCGTAACGGTAACGTGAGACTCTCTCTTTCTATGTGACATCATCGCTCGCTCTCAGACGTTCAAGTACAACGCATGGTGAATGTACGTATACATATATCCATGTACGCTAATTCCTACGAAATCATTTGAATAATCTCAAGACGAATTTCAAATCAATTATTTACATCCTTCCTTTCTTAGCAAATGTGCCATATTAAATTGCTCCTTGATGGATTAAAAAAAAACATTACTTTTGATGATTTACTTTGGAATTCCCTGAGTGTCTGTGGGTTTAGTGAAAATGAAAGTGACTCGAGAGACCATGACTCAGAAAGAGATAACATACTCGTTCATTTCCTTAATACAACAATAATACACGTGTAACCAATTATGCTTCGACTGACACATATTTGGAATACTCACATTTTTTTTTATCTCTTATTACTTTGCTACCTCATTGCAAACTTTCCAGTTGCTTTTGTTGGTTAAACAAATGCCGAATAATAATATTTAGTAGAGCATAAATTTGAGTTCTATCATTTTATTTCTATATTTCAAATCACAAGTTATTATACATTATTCGAAGATTTCTTTTTTATATGTACACTCTACTTTTATTTTCTCTTCTCTCTATAAACTGAAAGAGAGGAAGTAGTACCCAAAGACTATTTCTTGCTTCGGCCCTGACCTATTTTCTTTTCGATGAACGCGCTCAGACGAAACGTTGCTTCATTGTCATGAGTCGAAGAACGTGTAACTAAGTACCCGCGACCTCACATACGCCTACTTCCTTTTAGCAAGCATTCAAGGAAGAGTGGTGACTACTTGAACATATATCAATTCTTCAACTTTAATGGAGTTTCAGCACTTTTTAAATTTAACTAACTTTGAAGGAAAAGAGTATAGACGTGTATGTCGAGGCCTATAACTAACCTGAAATAACTTTACCAAAATAAAATGAGGAAAAAAGCAGATAAAATGTGTAATAACTTTCAATAAATAAATAAGAAAAAAAAAAAAAAAGGAGGACATTCTAAATGAATAACTAAAATCAATAAACAAACGATGGATTATTTATTTAAATCTTTAGCAAATAAAAAAAAAATCTATAACTTGAGGAATAATATTTTTCATCGAAATTCTAGCAATTAATTTGTAACATTATTGAAGAGATTAAATAATAATAAATGTCAACATTTTTAGGTTGATGATTTAAATAAGAATAACAACAGTAATTATTTCTGGAAAGTAAACTATAAAAAGTAATAATGACTACTTAATCAATGAAACATCAATATAAACCAAAACTAGATCATTAAAAGAATGATTGTTAATTAGAAATAATTAAATAACAATTAAAAATAGTTAGTGCAACCTAAAAATGACTTGACTCAACACTTTCACTAGCAAAGAAGCTAATTGTTCTGCTACTTCTTGAAGAGTCTCAAGAAGATAAGAGAATTGAAGGAAAAATAAATTCTTGAAAAGAAGATAAATGTATTTTTGGTGGTCTATTGAATGGTCAATGTGTTTGGAAAATTAGTGAATAGGATGAAAATTTGTTGAGGGTAGCAAAACGGTAGTGTGGCGAATGATGACACGCATACAATAGCTATATACTACTTCGTAACAATAATAGACTTGAGTAGTAGCCTAGTGCAAGCTCGCCTAGTCCACAACGCGCATTATTGCTATGTAGGTCAGGGCTGGTGCATTCAACGAGCGCGCGTCTCTTCCTCTATGCACCGAGGAGGCTTGTCATTACCTCTACACTGACCGAGAGGGAAACTAGTGGTCGAATGACGAAGAGAGAGAAAGAAAATTACGCTCTAGCTTCCATTTACTTGGTAGATGTCTAACGGGTGTCTTTATTTATTTACTATTAAGTAATATGTATGTATTTATATCTTTTTGATGAGCATATTCCCTTTTGATGATGATGATGGATTTTTTCCGGTATCGATGAATATTGAAATTTGAATAATTTAATGGCTGAAGGAAATAACAGACAAGTCGTTATAAAAATGATAACAGGATTATTAGAGCACAATAATAATAACTGCTTTGACCCTCCTCAAATTGTCTTATTGATTCCAATGAAAACGTAATTGTTTTTTTGGATTATTATCGAATTTATTATTTATTCCAATTATTATAAGAAAATTGTTCACCATTGTTATCACTTTGTTTTTTTTATCTACTGGACTATTTTTAAAAATCAATGAAAATTAAAATCCACAGTTAATCTAATTCTTTTTTTTTTTTAATAAATATTTAATTAATAGTTATGTAAAAATATTTATTTAGGATAGAAAAAAATTTATTTTACATTTAAATATTTTTTTTCTAGTAAATATTTATTCATATATTCAATATAGATAAAAATAAAAAAATTTTTT